CCTGGGCCCTCTGCACAGCCCACCCAGGCCCATTCCCAGGAGCACCCACAGATGGGGGCCTGCCTGAACCTCCTTCCTGTCTTCTACCTGCCTGCCCAGGGCCACTTCCATAAAGCCAGCCTGGGATGGGCCTGGGCCAACTCACTGAAGATCTTCTCCAGCTCCTCGCACCGCCGAATGTCCACTGTGAAGCGTCTCTGGAAGGCACTCACCGACTCATTGAGCTGTGGTGGCCACATGGAGGGGTCAGTGTGTCAGGGAGAGGTCCAGGGAGGTCCCACCCTGGGCCAAGGCCTCTCTCTCCTCAGGCCTTAGCCACCTTCTTCAAAAAGGGCTGAGCCTCCAGATCCCCATGTGCCTGGGAGCCTCAGGTGCGGGCTTCCTGAGGACAAAGGACCTATGGCCAGGGCTGCTGGGATGCATGTGGGACCAGGGGCGATTATGGGACAGGTGGGTCCCCATCTAGGCCTAGATCACAGCCCACCCCAGCAGCAATGCCCCAGGATGAAGGCCCCCCCCCCCGCCCGCCCTGGCCCCACTCACGTCTCTGAACTCCACGAGCCCCAGCTCGCCCAGCTGGCTCACACAGGTGTATGCAGCAGCTGTGGGCAGGAAGAGCTGGACCAGGACCACCTCCTCACTCCGGAACATGGAGCCCATGGTGCTGTGGGGGGGTGAGGTCAGGGCAAGCCACGAAGGCTCCCAACCCAGCTGGCACCTCCTAAAGCTCTGTTCCTGTAGTTCAGAGTTGTGACTACTGTCCCCATGTGACCAAAGGGGAAAACTGAAGCCCAGGAAGGGGCAGTTAGGTGCTGAGATCACACCGGAAGTAAGCGCCACAACTGGGCATGAGGCCAGCCCAGCCTCCAGCTCTCTCAGCAAGCCCACCTGCCTCCACCCTGTCCCTTGTACCCACCCCAGCACTGGGGTGACACTGGCTGTGCTCACCCCTCTGTTCATGCTCTGTCTGCCCTCACCTGAGTCCTGCTTATCCCTAGCACCCCAGGCAAAGGGCTGCCCCCAGGCTTGCCTTTATTTATCCAAACATCAGCTGTGACAAGTGACACACAGGGCCTGGATGGGGCTTGTCCTCAGGGATAGCCAGCGCCCTCCCACCTTCCTGTAGTCTGAGCCCGTAGGGTGGGCGGCTCTACTTGTTCTGCGGGGACTCAGCAAGGCCACAGAGACTGGCCTGGGAAGGGGTGGAGCTATCCCGAGGCCCCAGGCCGCCTGGCTGTATCCATCGCCCCTGGGGACTTGGGACAGGCTTCCAGGTGTTGAAACCAACAAAAACGAAACTGAAATGGCAGGAAGGGCCTGGCAGCGCCTTGCTCAAACACAGGCAGGGAGAGGGGCAGGGTGGCCTCCAGTTGGCCCTGCAGATAACCTGCTGGAGAGTCAGGACCCCTCTGCCTGCTGTGCCCACTACTCTCCGGTCCCAGGGTCCCTCAGTTTCCTTAGCTCTCTAGGTAGCAGGGAGACAGACATGGTTGAGGACCACCCTTCACCCCCTGGGGAGACTAGTGTGCTCTGCCTGCTGTGTGGACATGACCTACATGTCCCTGGGCCTGGTTTCCGTAATTCTGAATAGGAAACCACAGGCCTGTTCACAGCCTGGGAAAGGAGTGAACTCTGAGGGCAGGCATCAGGGGCCGTAGAAGGGCAGGTTCCTGAACAGCAAAGGATGGGCAGGAGGGTCTGGCTTTCATCATTCAAGGACATGACTCCGGCCATGGGCAGAGGGCAAGGAACCAGGACTGAGGGCCCCACCCAGGTTGTGACACTGTGTCACACTGTGTGACATTAAGCAAGTCACTTGCCCTCTCTGGACCTCTACTTCCTCTTTGGGACTTGGCCACCCCCACAGATATGAGATGACAAAAATAACCAGAGACCCCCATCTGTCCCCTTCACCCACACCAACTCACACTAATCCCTGATGGTGATGCTGGGGGAGGGGCGATGGAGCCCTGTCTTAAAGGGGGGTCAACTGAAGCCGGGAGAAGCAAGGCCCAACATAACATGACCAGCTGATGGCCAAGCCAGGGAGGAGCCAGGACCAGGGCTGCAGGCTTGGCAGTCCCAGCTCAGAGCGGGCTGCAGACCTGGCCTCCGCTGGCTAGCCCCGACCCTGTTCCCCCTGGCCCCTGCCCTAGCCAGGGGAGACCCTGCCAGACCACAGAGCGCCTCCAGCCACCGCGTGGTCTGCAGAGTTCAGAAGCAGCGACTCCTCTCCCAGCCTCTGGCCCTGGACTGCCAACCCTCCACTGGCGGGCTCGGGCTCTGCCACTTCCTAGTTGGGGGAGCTTTGCTTTCCTCATCTGTAGAATGCATCCCGCCCTCCGAGCAAGGCGCAGCGGGAAAACTCTGAGCGCAGGCCGGCAGGGGCGGCCTCGAAAGTTGCTGGGGACCCACACCCATCTTCCTGCCCCTCCTGATCGTCTCCTCTGCTCCGCCTGACGCCGCCGGCGGCCGCCAGCACAGCCTCCTCGACCCAGCTAGGTGGGGCGCCGGGACACCTTTCCGGGGCAGGGGCGCGGGTGGCAGGCGGAGCCGCGCCCCGCACACCCCTCCGGGGCGGGCACTCACCCTGCGCGCCGCGCCGCTTGGCTCTCTGCAGGGGCTGTGCACCCTGCCGCGGCGCGCGCGGCTCGCTAGGGCCCAGGGGCGGGGCCCGGGACGCCCCGCCCCGCCCACGTCCCCTCCGAGTCCGGCGCGGGAGGTTCGGGGACTGTTCAGGTGCGTGGGCCGCTTAATCATGGCGACGAGAGCGGAGATAACTGACCAGCGGCGCCGGAGGCCCGGGAGGTGCCAGCCTAGGGAATGGGATTCCCACGCCCCTTCCACCTGAAGGGCTCGTTGGACCTAAGGCCCTAGGGTCCAGAACCTGGCCCTCCCCAGCACAGGACTCATTCACCCTTTCTGCTTCTGACCACCCAGGATAGGAGGCTGAGCCAGGAGGGCTGTGCCCTTGAGGGGATGGGGTGGCTGCCCAGAGCACAGCAGATTCATTTGTGGCTGGACACATACTGTACAGGGGTGTCCTGGTGATCTTGCTTCAAATCATCTGCATGAGAACTGTCAGTTCCAGTGCCAGGAAACTGGGACTCACCACCATCTCGCTGCCTGCACTTTGGACGGGCTGGACTGTACCCACTGGGGACCAGAGGGAGGACGGTCCCTTAGCCCTGGTGATCCTTGAATCACACTCAGTGAGCGAGGGCCTAGAGGGTAGGAGTGTGGGGGAGCAGCCCCGGAACTACACCTGGAAACAGTCACCAGCACCATCAGCATCCTCAGGAAATTGAGAGACATGTGCTTCGACTCCACATCAGTGGGATAAGAAGGGCCTTCACTACAACCAACCTCAGTGCCAAGGGCCCAGGTCAATCCTTGGGAGCACAGAGGAAACCAGAACTCTACCATGGTCACAAAACCATGTTATGGATACACTCCTGAGGCCAGAACATACCTCAGATCAGTGAGAACCTGGTTACCTGCTGATGCAGCTGCCCTAGGTCTAATTCAAGGGCTAATGGTGGCTGGGAAACTAAATAGAAGTGGCCTGCCCCAAATTCTTGGCTGTTGGTGGGGCCCAAGCAGAGCCTGAGTCACTTCTGTATCAGGAGATGACAAAAGCCAGCCTGGGAACTAGGCCAGGTGTTAGTAGGGGATCTGAGCAAAAGGATTCCTGAGAATGGACTGGGGGCTGGGCTTCAGTGCTATAGGTTGTGGGAGACCAACCTTACATGTGACTGAGTCACACTCCCCGGCTGGGTGCTGAGGCGCTCAGTCACAGAAATGTGGCAGAGCTTTCCCCACCCTTCTTGGGTTCGAGGGTCGGTGTCCCCTGCATGGGTGTGTCTTGCTACAGCCCCATGGGTGAAGCTACGCTCACCTGTCCCTTTGTGATATAACCCCTTGCCCCGTTTAGGATAGAATCATCCCTGGAAGTGCCTTGTGTGTGTCCCCTTCTCTTACTGTGTGCTTGGGTGTGGCCTACCCAGGTGTTAGTCAACCTGTTCACAGTGGACAAGCCCCCTGAAACCTGACCCCTTGCCTCATTTGAATAGCTTCTCACTCTCTCTCTTCCTGTGGACCCTTAAGGTCAGAGGAGCCATCACAGCGACCCCAAAGAAAAAGGTTCTTTGTGTCTCTTGTGTGGTTATTTTGCGCAGCCCAATCAGCCCAGTTCAACTGGAGTGACCCCTGAGCCCGAGAACAGAAACCGGCAGCAGGTCTTCTCAACGCCCCGAAGTCCAGCGAGGAGACGGCGCAGTTGGGCATTTCCCACACCATGGTCCATAAACACCTCCTTGCTTTCCAAGATACATCTTCGGAGATCAGCAATTTGCAAAAAACATTTTTGCAATTGATGGGGGAGGGGACTCAAGGCCTCTTAGACCCGAGTAAGTCACTGGATATGTGCTAAGTGACCTGGATAGTCACTTCACATCGTAAGCGCCTCCCTACAATGCTTAGCACCAAGTTCAAGGGGCTGCTTTGGCTAGTACATTGGCACTGGGCCTGTGTATAGCTCAGGAGCTACCCTGCCTTAGTGGGACTGCAAACTGGGAAGTTGTGAAGCCAGCAGTCTGTTTGGGGAACTTGGGGAGAAAAGGGGATGTGTTTGGAGGAAAGGCCAGCTCAGAGGCAGCAGGGCCTTGTCATCTGCTCGTGACTGTCACCTCAGAGCAGGCTTCCCCCTACTGCCAAGAACACCAATTGTGGGGGCAGCAGGGCCAAGGTGACCTTTGGCATTGCTCACCTTGGGGAAGGTATGTAGGTATCAGGGAGGTTGTGGCCTCTGGTGACCAGGAAGAGGGTCTGATGGGCCCATGGAACCATACAGGAAGGCTGGGCCAACCCTTGGGCTGATGGAACCCACAGGAAGAATGAAGCTGGTGGACCAGGCCCTCACCTGGCTGGAGGAATCCAGAGACCTTGGGCTGGCAGGGGACAGTTCCACCCTGGACACTGGATGCACGACAGGAGGCAGCTAGGGAGAGCAGGCTCTTTTATTGGGCAGCGGGGCCTGGGGCTGAGCTGGGGGGCTGAGCTGGGCGGGCGGGCGCGTCACCGGTAGAGGTAGTCGGCCTGGATGTTGGCGGCGATCTCAGCCTCCCACTTGTCCCCATTGTTGAGCAGCTTCTCCTTGTTGTACAGCAGCTCCTCGTGGGTCTCCGTGGAGAACTCGAAGTTTGGACCCTGTGGTGGGGCAGAGGTCCAGCCAGGTCAGACCCCTCCCAGGACCTCTGCCCAGCTGCTCCCACCTGGGGCCCACTTACCTCAACAATGGCGTCCACAGGGCAGGCCTCCTGGCAAAAGCCGCAGTAGATGCACTTGGTCATGTCGATGTCGTAGCGGGTGGTCCGGCGGCTGCCATCAGCCCTGGGCTCAGCCTCGATGGTGATGGCCTGGGGGGAGTGGCCACTGGTCACCGTCACACTGCCAGCCATGTCCTGGCCCCAGGTCCAACCCATGTGGGGCTTGATCCTACCCTTGGTGTCTGCGCAGATGCCTCTGCCCTTTGCCACCCCTCCTAAGAGGCAGCCCTCACACCTGCCACACCAGCTTCTGTTTCTCTCAGCACCTGCCTCAGAAACATCTTGCTCTTTGTTAATTAACTGCCTTATCTCCTGCCTCAGAATGCCCCCCCAGGGCCAGGCTGGACCTCCCCCTTCACTGCAGATTAGCCCTACAGGGCCTGGCCCTGTAGAAAGTGCCCAGTGACTACCTGCTGTGTGGTGAGCAGCTCTCTGCCTTAGGTCTCTCATCCTCAGCTGACGGATAATAAAGCTGAGGATAGCGAGTCTGAGGGGTTTCTGTGCACCACGTGTGTGCCAGCAGGGAGAAAGAAAGGCGGCCTGGGGCCTCCCCAGCAGGAGGACCCTCAAGGATGCTCAGACCCTCCTGCCGACCTCCAGGAGAGCTGCACTCCCTACTCACAGTGGGACCTTTAGCTGTAGCCTCTTCTTTCTATGCCTGTAAAAATGGACACATAACCTCTATCTGCTTGCATTACTAACGATTAAATGAGATGATGGAAGGCGTGAGCTCAGTGCATGCCTGTCTGTGACCAGCACTCACTACCCAGAAGCCATGACTGCACTGGGGACTGAACCAAGGGGCACTTGTCACCGAGACACATCCTAAGCCCTTTTTTGCTTTTTGAGACAGTCTCTCTCTAAATTGCTGAGGTTGGTCTTGAACTTGCTGTCCTCCTGCCTCAGCTTCCCAAGTCTCTGGATGATAGGCGTGGGCGGTAGCCAGGGTTGTTGCATGAGGACACTCCTGTGTGCTCCCAGGCAGTGGGTGGAGGAGAAGCATCAAAGCCACAGCTCTCAGCCTGGAGGACCTGGGAGTGGTCCAGGAGAGACCAGCTAGGATGTGGCCAGGAGCCACCCTGAGCCACAGATATTGGAAGGTGACCGCTGTGTGGACCAAGTGAGGACAGTCTGCTGGGCTCCTGCTGGGCACACCAGGGTCTGAAGCGTCTGCATCTCTGTTTCCATCCCAAGAGCCCCTCCTCTAGGGAATCCTCCACTACCCAAAGCCAGAGCTGCAAGGGCCGGCCGCCAGGGACGGGGCCTCTGTCTGTGGGTCCAGCCCAGGGTAGGCACACACACAGAGCTCCTGGAGCTGATGCTACATCTGGGGAAAAGTGGACACCTCAGGCGCCACCCCAACGATCCTAGGCCCAAGCCTCACACTGCTGACCGACCGAGTCAAGCACCACACATGCCGCCCAGCCACACAGGCTGAAGGCTGGCCTCTGCTGCCACGCTGCTGCCCACGACACTCAGGCAACAAGGCCATCAGACCCACTCGTGGGGAGGGGGTGCAGGGTCAGGCAGGAAAGGGACTGTCCATCAGGTTGCCTGTCCTCCCTCCAGGGGCAGGGGCTGGGCTCACCTGGGCAGGGCAGACGGCCTCACAGAGCTTGCAGGCGATGCAGCGCTCCTCCCCAGATGGGTAGCGGCGCAGCGCGTGCTCCCCACGGAAGCGCGGGCTCAGCGGGCCCTTCTCAAATGGGTAGTTGATGGTGGCTGGCTCCCGGAACATGTAGCTCAGGGTCATGCCCAGGCCTGTGGGCAGCACAGGCATGTGTGTGGGCCGTCTTCCTCCCCAGCACAGCCTTGCCCGTTCTGTCCTCACCCCACCAGGACCCACCTCGGAAGAGCTCAGTCCACATCAGGGTCCTCGCTGCCCGGTCGGTTATTGACTTCATGTCCATCTCGGGCTCCTGCAGGTTCACATACTCTGCGAGGTGGCAGGCATGGGCCATGACAGGAGGTTCAGGAGTCCAGCACAGGGAGATGAGGCCTGGCCTCACTCCTAGGCGTACCAGTTGGGCTCCCAGAGCCTGGTCATTCCCCACCCTTTCCCTAGCTTCCGCAAGGACCTGGGAGGTCAGCCTGGACCTAGGCAGGCCTTACTCACTCCTCCCTGTGCCTAGGTGACCCTTGAGCCCACAAGAACCCTCAAGCAAGGCTTTAAAGAGGAGCACAAGTGGTTGAGAGGCTTGGCCCCCCACCTTCACGAGCAATCCTGATGCAGAGGAACAGGCACCCATGACTCACACCGCAGGCCCCACTCAGAGGAGCACTGCCACCACTCTCCCCCACCCTGACCCGGCAGGTCTGCTCCCAAGAATCTCAGCCCATCTCTATCATCATCCTTTGTTTTTGTTTTTTTCGGTACTGGGGATTACCACTGAGTTACACCCCAACCATTTTTATTTTTATTTTTATTTTGAAACAGGGTCTCACTAAGTGGCCCAGGCTGGCTTCGCTCGAACTTGTGATCCTCCTGCCTCAGCCTCCTAGGATTGCTGGGATTACAGGTGTGCACTACCACGCCCAGCGTCACCCTCGTTTTTAGAAGGGAAACTGAAGCTCAGGAAGGGCCCAGGCACAGCCAGGACCAGAATGGTGTCCTCCCTGGCCTCTGGCAGGCTGCGCCTCCATCAGGAAGCCTAGGCTGGAGGCCACCCCACTACTCACTGTAGGTTGCTGCCACTGTGCTGCTGTGAAGGCTCCGTCCACTGGGATGTCCTACAAGGGAGGGGTGATGATGTGCTGTGATCTTAGGACAGAAGGGGCTTTCCCACCCCCAGGGAAGGCTCCCTTGGTCCTACCTGTGCGCGCAGCCTGGGCCAGGGCCCGCAGCAGCGTAGGCATGGTCAGGCAGCGCATCTGAGGGCATAAAATGGAAGGAAAGTGCAAGATTGAAAACTGACCTTCCAGGACCCCTGGCACTTGCCCCAGGGCCAGTGGTGCCATCCTGTGCCCTCACACTCCATTCCCACGATGGCCATCTTGTTCCCAGGCACATGTCTTCCAGCCCTCCAACCTGATGCAGCTCAGCTGGGCTAAAGCTCTGGGAATTCTATGGGTCCTAAGTTCCTTCTACATCTCTCCCGGCCCTGATTTGTCCTCACAAAATAACAAGGCCAACCACCACCAGCTTGCACTACAAGTTAACTCTGCCCCAGGTTCTACGTGAGGACACTCAGGAACTGTCAACTTGTCCTTGTGAAGTGACTCCCCCAGTCCCACAACAGGGGAGCTTCAGGGCTGGAAGCCGCCTCCCGCTGGAAACCCTCTCCCAGCTCCCCGCTCCCAGGCCATTCTAGAACTGTCCCCCAGCATACTGAGTGACCTAAGGTAGGTGACGCCACCTGGCCTCAGACTTCTAACCTGCAAATTAGGGGGGTCATGAGATTTATATATTGGGACTCATACACCCCAAAGGGTGAGTCCAGAGCCTGGCACTTCGCCAGAGCCCAAAAGGGACCCTCCAGGCCTATGACCTCTAGCGGGCCCACTCTTTTGACCAATGGCTACAGTCCCAGGCACCCAACCCACCACCTTCTCCGACCTTCCCCATGACCTCTGACCCCAAGGACGCAGGAAGACCCGGCCAGGCAGCGCATGCGCCGCGAGAATGCCAGCTTCCCGGTCGGCCCGCGACACGTGAAGGACGCAGAGGCCACGAGTCCTAAGGGGCCTAGACGGAGCGTGAGCACAGAGTTTGCGGGACTGACGGGGACACCACACTCGCCCCCGACGCTGCGCTGCCCAGCCTGGCCTTCACGGCCGAGCCCCGGGCACCCACCTCGAAGCGCTGCCTCTCCTTCCCCAGCCGAGCGGGCTGGTCAGCGAGAGGCGGAGCCTATCCCTGGGACATAGCCATTGGGTCGGCTGGTTTTGCCTTTTCCGCGGTGACCTCCGTGCTGTGCCCTTATTGGCCGGTGGTTCTGCCGAAGGAGGCGGGATCTAGAAGCATCTTTCCTCTGATTGGCTGCGCGAAAGCAGGCGTGTGAAGTTGGGAAGGGCGCCGCCATCTTGGTTCGGAAAGACCAATACCCAAGGACCTCCGAGTGCTGGAGGCGGGACGTCCGGGGCGTGGCTTAGGGAGAGGGGCGGGAGTGCTATAGGCTGGGGAGCCGGAGGGCTAGGTGACGCCGCTGTAACCGCGGCGGCGACCCCGGGCGCAGACGCTGGACTCGTGCGACTTCATCTAGTTCTCAGAGCTCAGTCTGGAGAAACGTTACTATTACTTCTCAGATGGGGAAGCGAGGCGGGGACGTGTCAGGCCGCCGAGGAGCGGCGTGCGGCCTGCACCTGGACCGGTGGGCCTCGGGACCCGCCTCTCATCGTCTGCTTGGTCCTGTGCGCTCCGCGGTAGAGGGACCCTGGGGGTTACGGGCACTGAGTCGCCCCTGGGTCAGTCTGCGTGTGTGTTGGGATGGTGGACAGGGAAGGCTTCCTGGAGGAGGCGGTGCCTGAGCTGACATTAGGGTGGGGCAAGCCCGGAAGGACAGAGAAAGCTTGTCCAGCGCGTGTCCGATGTTGGCAGCCTGGTGACTGCAGTCCTGGGAGAGAGGAGCAGAACAAGAGCCTCCTGGGGACTGAAGCAGATGAGGGACTTGTCAGCTACAGGTTGCCAATGAGGGGTCTTGGCCGAGTGGTGGCATGGTCCTGCCTAATTTTGGAAGATTGGTGTGTAGCGTGGGGAGAGGAGCTAGGCCAGAGGGAGAAGTGAGGTGATAGTGTCCTGCTCGAGGCCCGGCCCTGGTGTTGTGATTTGTGTATGAGTTGGAGCAATCCTGGGGTGATACAGGTTCACCAGGACGTGTTCAAAGCTGTGACCTGGGGGAGGAGATAGGGCGTCAAGCAGGAGTCACAGGGTTTTGGCCCTGGTGGCAGATGAGTGAATGGAGCCCCAAGGATGAGCAGGATGGTGAGGAGTTAGGGTTGGACATGCTCACCGGGAGGCAGGCAGAGCTTCTGAGAGGCTGCTGAAGCAAAGGGCAGTGCTGCTGCAGGAATCTCAGCCCTGCCTGGAGGGAGGCAGCCCCCTGTACCTCACCCACTCTGGCCCTGCACCCCAAGAATAAAAGGACACCCAGAGCTCATGGTCAGCCTCGGGATTTAATCTTTGTAACAATCTTCAGAGGTGTCAATTAATCATCTCCACCAGCACTGCAGGTGGGGACACTGAGGCTCACAGAAGACAGTGATGACCTGCTCACACAGCTTCCATGCTGTGGCCTGGACCCCATGCCAGGGCTTCTCTGCTGCACCCTCTGCAGGAAGGCAAGTGGCTCAGAGGTGCCACGTTTGCTCTCTTCTTCCGGGAAATGATGGATGACATGGCGGGTAGGGGCAGGTCTCTGCACTGTTCCTGTGCTCCCATCCTCAGCCTGTCCTCATTATGGGGCAGCTAAGGGTCAGAAAAGGAAATCCCCCGGAGGGTGAGGCTGAGCAAGCTGCTCTGTCACCTGGGCGTCTCCTTGTGCCCTAGCCCACATCTCTGGCTGCTTCATGAGGGGAGGAAGGCTGGTGCCCCAGCACCTGCGGGCTCAGAGCAGTGTGCAGCTGCATCTGCGCTCCTCCATGGCCACCAATAGCACCCTCAGATTGCGTGGTGAGTAGGGAGGGTAGCGGAGGTCGTTGATCTTCTCCATACCCGGGCTTCGGAGCAGGCAGGCACGATGGTGGGAGAAGGTGTCAAAGGAGAACTTGCCGTGGTACCTACCCATCCCGCTGGCACCTGTAGAGTGGCATAGAGCACAGGTCAGGCCCTCAGTGGCCCGCTGTGGGGATATCAGGCAGACCTGGGCTCTGATCCTCTGAGCCTTAGTTTCCCCATCTGTTAAGTGGGCTGATCAGGGTTGAGCCCCAAGCCTTGCACTACCACCAGGACAGTAAGTGCTGGGGACACCAGGTATTGGGGCAAGCTAGGCACACAGTGCTCAAGGGTGCCTATTTTATAGCCACACTGCCCAGGGTTAACGCTCAGCTCTACCATGAATAGCTGTGTGTCACCTTGGGCAGGCGATTTTAACTCAGGTTCATCCTCTGGGACTATGGAACCACCTCAAGGGTTGTGGCAAGAACTAAGCAAGAAGCCAGTCAGTCGTGGTGGCGCACACCTCTAATCCCAGTGGCTCAGGAGGTTGAGACAGGAGAATTGCGAGTTCAAAGCCAGCCTCAGCTAGGGCTGGGGTTGTGGCTCAGTGGCAGAGTGCTTGCCTCACACATGTGAGGCACTGGGTTCAATCCTTAGCACCACATAAAAACAAATAAACAAAATAAAGATAATTTTTAAAAAATCAATCGAGGTGCTAAGCAACTCAGTGAGACCCTGCCTCTAATAAATAAATAAATAAGTAAATATAGGGAGCTGGGATTGTGGCTCAGCAGTAGAGCACTCGCCTAGCACGTGTGAGGCCCTGGGTTCAGTCCTCAGCACCACATAAAAATAATAAAACAAAGGTATTAATATCTATCTATCTATCTATATCTATCTGTATCTATATATATAAATATAAATAGGGCTGGGGATGTGGCTCAGTGGTCAGGTGCCCCTGAGTTCAATCCCCAGTACCAAAAAAGGAAAAAAAAAGAACCAAGCAAGTGTTCAGAGCTGCGAACGTGGTAAGCTCTGTGTTGTTGGTTTGCATCAGTGTCTAGGAAGGGAGGCAGACAAGGACCAGGCGAGGGAAGTCAGGGCCACGGCCTGGGTGGAGCTGGGGCATCCTGGAGTGAGTGGGCCAAGGGATAGGGCACTCACCAGGTGAAGAGGGAAGGTGGGCAGGAGGAGCACTGGTGTGCGGTAACAGAACCCTGGGGGCCAGAGGCCTATTAGGGCCAAGCTCAGTGGCTGAAGCAGCAGGCAGGAAGCTGGGGGAGGAGGCTGGAGTGGGACCCCTGGTCTGGCCTCAGGATGCTGGGAGTCAGGCCTGGCTTGATCTGGGGCCTCAGGGTCACAGCTGGATCAGATATGCCTGCAGGCCAGCCCCCACTCCTCCAGGGACAGAGAAAGTAGGATGAGGAGTGGGACTGGCAGTGACCTCGGTAGGATCAGAGGCTCCAGGTTGGAGGAAGGGGGAATCCAGAGCCAGGGTCTCAGTGTGCCCACCCCAGTGTGGCCTGCACTGCCAGGTGGCGTTGCCTCAGCCTGCTGTGTGCTGCGGTGGCCCTAGCCACCCTCCAGGAAGGGTCCAGGCAGTACTGAGGTACAACTCTCCAGGCCTTGCTGCTGCTCATTCTGGAGCTTACTGTGGCAGGACCTTGACTGCCTCCTCGGGCTCTACCCTTTCACTGAGGAAGTGGGCCAGAGAGGGGAAGTGGCTGCCCAGGTCACACAGGCTGACGGGCTTTCCGGGGCCAGCCTTGAGGTTTCCCAATCTGGAGGCCAGGGCTTTGCAGCTGTGATGGAGCTGAGGGCAGGGGGCTGGCGACAGATGCCAGGGCTGGCCTGTGGGCTGCGGGAGGGTGAAGGAGCACAGGCAGCCAGGCACGGAGCGTGGAGCCCCTGGGGCTGTGCCCGTGGACAGACAGTAGACCCCAAGCCGTGCTGTTGGGAGAAAGGCAAGTTGTAGCACAACAGACGGTGGCCACGGCTGTGCACCTGTGGGCCCACCCATGTGCGGTAAGTGCAGGCAGGTCTGGAAGTTTCCACTCCAAACCGGGGAGGAGAGCAGGATGGTCAGTGCAGGGGGCCTCCGTGTCGCCTTCCATGTGAGGTTGGGCTCAAGCAGTTTGTGGCAAGAAATTCGTCAGGTAACACTGCTGCCACACACTCGGGAACGGCAAGAGGGCAGGGCTCAGCGGGCACCTACCCACTCCTCCGAAAGGCAGGCTGGCCAGGGTCATGTGCATGAAGCCGTCATTCCCGCAGAAGCCCCCGCTGCTCGTCTGGGCCAGCACCCGCTGGACCACCTGGGAGAGAGCAGAGTGTTCGAGGCTGAACCTGGCGGCTCCAGCCTTGCTGCAGAGGGTCCAGGGCCGGGGCATCTGCCGAAGGTAGGACAGGCACGCCGCCCCTCACAGAGCCGCTGACGTGTTTCCTGAGTGCTTGCTTGCGCGTGGCCTGTGCAGCGTGCTGGGACACAGGCTCTCAAGCCCAAGGGGAAGGCAGGAGACAGTGTCACCTGGGGACGGATAAAGTGTCATGGCAGTGGTGCGGTGCCACGTAGTCAGGGAGGTGTCCCAGGAGGGACCTGGTGTGCCTGCTCAGTCTCATGGGGAGGGGCCATGTGGAGTGAGCACGGGGACACACGAGGACCTGACCCTGCGGTTCCATCTGTTCCTGGCTGACTTAATGAAGACCTTCCTTTTCAGTCTGGGTTTATCTGAAGAAGGAAATGGGGAAAACGAGCCGACTTTAAATAGTTGCTGTGTGGTCACTTCACTGTATGTAGCTCCAATCCTTGTGGCCCTCGTGACCAGCCTTAACAGCAAACAGCCAGGTGGACCAGTGCTGGCGGTCAGGGAGGTGGAGGGCCAGATGACCCTGATGCCAGGTCCAGTTTTCTAAAGGTCAAGGATCCTGATAAACAGGGTCCTTGGAGGAATGGCTGGTTCTAGAGTTGGGTCAGGAAGGTGCAAGGTGACCAAAGTTTGGCCATGTCATAGGACACAGGGGCCTCCAAGCCTGTGACACAGCCTGTAGCCCAAAGAATCAAATAAACATATCCCTTCTACATAAATCATTGAAGACACAAATAACATGCAGATGATCTAACACCGCGCACAGAGCGCCCCCCACACTGCCTCCGTGGCCCAAGGGCCAGACTCGGAGCCTGGCTCCAGTTCATGGTGGGGCCCCGGCAGGTGCAGCCTCACCCAGGAGCGGAGGTTTGCCCTGCTGGCCAGCTGAGGTCTCGGCACACCCAGCACCCCTAATGAAGTCCTGGGAAAAACCAGGCACCCTGAGGCTGGGGACAAATAAAGCTGCTGGCATTGAGCTGAGAGGCTTAGCTAGTGCATCCTTAGCTCCTGGAGGAGAAAGGACCTTCATGGAAACTGGTGAAGTCCCCAGGAAGCCCGAGTGTAGTTCATGGAGATGAACCATGGCAGTTTGTTATTCCGACCCACAACAGGGCCCTTAGGCAGGGGAACTGGGGATGGGGTACGCGAGAACTCTACTGTCTCTGAAGCTCTTCTGTAAGTCCAAAGTTATTTCCAAATAAAAAGTGAACTTAAAAAACCATTGTTCAGACAGGAGGAGAATCTCATGAGGGGTGTGGGAGGGTGGTGGGAACTGTTGCTGTGTCCTTAGGCTGGGGACGGGGACACCACCCCTGTGCCCTGGGGACTCTCAGGCTGCTCCGTGGGCCTAATCAGCATATTCTGGGAACTGCATGTGCTTGTCCTATCCACACCCCAGGTGGCCCCCTCGTGTGTGCCTCCAGAGCTAGGCAAGGTGGCCACCAGGCGGAGGTGTATGGGGAAAATTGACTCGGGGGCTCTGGACCCTGGAGAAGACCCCAGGGACATACTCCTGGGAAGAAGAGCAGGAACAAAGCCAAGAGCCACCAGCCCTGAAGTCCTGTGTGACTGCCCCACAAAGGCTGTGTCCCTTCTGCTGCCGCCACTCCCCCATCCTGCCGGGCCGCACCTGGGAGCTGTTGGAGAAGGCGTACAGGGCCAGGGGCTTCTCCCGCCGGTTGATGAAGTCGATGGCTTCATCCAGGCTCCTCACGGTCACCAGGGGCAGGATGGGCCCAAAGATCTCCTCCTGCATCACGGGCTCCGTCTCCTGCACGTCCACCAGCACAGTGGGCGCTGCGGGCAGGCACGGCGACAGTCAGCCCAGGGACACCCCAGGGGAGGGGATTCGGCAGGGCCGGGGCCCAGGATGCAGGCCGGGGACCCCCTGGCCTGACCTCCCAGCTCTCCAGGCTCTGAGGACCTGGGTCCTGGCCTCTCGGAACTGCAGATGGCAGGACAGACGGCAGAACGGAAGTTTACACCACCCTCCTGACCCTGGAACTGGGGTCCGGCTTAGTGGATCAGAGTTTGGGGTGAGGAGACAGGCTCCAGGCCATGGTGACGTGGGGCCTTCGTGTTCTGGAACCAGGCACCGGGCCGGGGACCCAGGCCTGGCCAGCAGGGAGCGGGGCCGGCTTTCAGGCGAGGCCCCTGCAGCAAGGAAGGCCCTTGGCCCAGGGGGCTGCGGCAGGGGAGAGGGGACTCACCGATGTAGAGCTCGCTCTCGTCGCTCTGGCCACCGATGGCCACCCGGCCACAGCCCAGCAGTCCCTGGAGCCGCTTGAAATGCTTCTGGCTGATGATGCGGCCCAGGCTGGGGGAGCTCTGGGGGTCGTCGCCATAGAAACGGGTGATGGCGCTCTGCAGGGCAGGCAGCAGGCGCTCGCGGGTCTCGGGGCTGCACAGGACGTAATCCGGGGCCACGCAGGTCTGGCCAGCGTTGAAGTACCGGAACCAGGTGACGCGGTTGGCCACGGTCTGGGGGTCACAGTCGTCATCCACGTAGCACGGGTTCTTGCCCCCCAGCTCCAGGGTGACGGGTGTCAGGTGCTTGGCAGCGGCGGCCATGACGATCTTGCCCACACGGGGGCTCCCTGGGCATGGGAAGAAACCAGAGTAGCCTCTCCATCACTCTGATTATGCGGATAGCCGTGGCCTGGGGCTGGCCTCCTTACCACTTCGCCACCCTGCAGGCCAGGGCCCTGCCCATCTCTGCCCAGACCAGCCCCAGCAATGCAGATGCTCGGGGAGAAGCCGAGCTGCAGCCCGGCTGCAAGTTGGCCCCGTCTCCAGCCCATCCTGGGGCCACTCTTCCTACAATGCCAGCTGTTCCCCTCCCGGTTCTCCCTTCTCCTCTAGAGCCTTGGTGGCCTCTTACCAGCTCTCAGCCTGCCTGTCCCCTCTCTGTCCCCAACTCCCTTCCTGAGTTCCTGGATCTAGAGGGCACCTCACCAGGCCTGTGGCTCCTGCTCATCTCCTGCCTTTGCTCAGATGCCACCTGTCACCCCTGGAGCCTCCCGCACTGGCCTGGCCTGCAGCTCCACACCTCTTCTCTCCACACCTCTACTCTCTTCTCTCCCCTTAACGCAGAACTCCAAAGGTCTTGTCCTTCCAGCCCCTCTGCACCCCGAGGCCCACGTGGTGTCTGGCACTTGGTCAGTGGGCTCAGCAAACCTCACTGACCAGGGCAGCAGGAGAGAACGGAGCTCCAGGGCCAAGTCTGGGAAGGACTTCGTCTGCCCTTCCTTCGCCCGCAGGACGGACCTGTGACTTAGAGATGACTGCAGCTTTGCAGATGAGAAAACAGGCCTGGAGAGCTTGGGGTGCAGCAGAGGTCCCCGCTGTCTGCAGCCTCTGTGCAGGCCACCTTGAGGACCACGCCTAGAACAGCCTCTGGGGTCTCACCCGCCAGAGCTGCAGGGTGTGGGTGGAGGGGTGGCTCCTCCCTTGCATGGGGACCACAGGAGCTGCCACCAGACCCTCTTCCTCCGTTAGCCTCCCTGTGGCCAGGTGGGACAGGCATCGCTTTTCCTGAGCTTGACGCTGGGTCCACAGGGGAGAAGGGCAAGGCTGCGTCTCCACCTCCTCTCCTCTGAGGTCAGAGGTGAGCTCAGCCCTGGGAGTGCCGCCCCCTGCCTCTGTCCTTGTGTCTCCTCCAGAAGTCCCATCCTGGTGATGAAGCCAGGAGGTGTGGGGACTAGTGTGACGGCAGGGGAACCCGGGGGTCAGCTCTCACCAAGGGCTTGGGTGCACATCCTGTCCTGGCCAGGGCAGAGTGAACCTGGGCAAGGCCCTTGGTCACCTGGACCCGGGCCTCACCTGTCTAGCCTGCAGTAGGGCCACTGTCGCTGGGGTGGAAGGCCTGGCACAGCTGGAGCTAGCAAGGCCAGAGGCTTGATTCAGGAGACTGGTTGGCAGAGGTGGGTTGTGGACCCACACAGGGGACTCGATGCCATTTTGAGTGGTGCTGAGGGACCAGGTCCTGCTCCCAGCCTGGTTGAGGTCAGCCCCTGTGCACCCACCCAGAGCTTGCCCATTCGGGGCTGGGTCATCAGTGGCCGTCGCCTGCTCTTGGAGTCAGGGATGGGATCCCCCAGGGCCTCCCCTCCTCACCTGTGAAGAAGATGTAGTCGAACCTGTGCTCCAGCAGCCGCGCGGTCTCCGCGGGCCCGCCCAGGGCCACAGCCAAGCAGCTCTGCGCCACAGGTGGGGGTCCCAGCTTCAGCGCCCGGGGGGGGGGACCTGTCCTGCCCACCCCCAGCCCCCTGGCCTGACCCAGAGTTGCCAAGGCTCTAGGAGGCTGGGTAGGTTGGGGTCCCCCAGGGGACTGGGCCCAACAGGTATGGGGTTGAGGGGGTGGGGCCGGGCTGGGCAGCCGGAGACAGAGCTGGGACTCCCAGGGACAGGTGCCCTGGCTGCTGCACAGAGGGAAGTTGGTGGGGGGCACTTAGCCCAGGTCACACAACTTGAAAGAGGTGGCACTGAGGTTGGGACTTGGGTCTCTGACGCCAGGGGCTGCCTGTCCCTCTCACCTGGTCTAGGTAGCGGGGCAGCACCTCGGCCAGGACCTTCTCAACGCTCTTGCTGATCTCGGAGGGCTTCAGGACCACACAGTTCCCTGCCAGGCAGGAGAGGAGGAGGCGGGGAGGTAGAGGCCCAGCCCACAGCCCTGCAGGCAGGTGCTGGCCCCGCCCACTGTCAGATGGAGACTCTGGCTGAGGGGACAAGACACATCTGAGGCCACACAGCCCTGGACAGTGGGCCAGGTGGAAGCACCTGGTCTGGCCCCTGGGGGCCCTGAGACCTGGGGGGGCTGTAGGAAGGCGGAGGCTCTGCTCTCACCTGCAGCAATGGCCCCCACCAGGGGCACCAGCGTCAGGTTCAGCGGGTAGTTCCAGGGCGCGACGATGAGCACCAGGCCGAAGGGCTCCTTGCGGATGAAGGCTGAGTCCAGCTGTGTGGCCTGGGTGGGGGTGAACAGTGAGGTGCCCAGAGAGGCCACCCCATGGGAGCAAGTATTCCCTGAAGCCCGCCTGCCCGCCCCGACCCCCGGGCCTCTCACCAGGTTCTTGGACACCTTCTCGTCCTTCATCCACGTCTGCAGGTTCCTGAGGGCCAGGTCGACCTCGCTCTGGCTGATGGCGATCTCAGACACCTCCGCCTCAAAGTTGGACTGCGGGAAAGCCAAGGTCGAGGTGGGCTGGGGGTCAGTGGGTGGCTGGATGGGGGACGGCACAGAATCTGCTGCTGTGACACCTCTGGGTTCACTCCACACTCCGTGCCCTTCCCGGGAACAGGCGCACGTTCCTTGGCACGAACCTGTTCCTGTGCCAACTTGGAGCAGTGACCAAAACAGATGGGCAACCACCCTGGGGGTCCCATGTAGGGGACAGTGACTGTGACCATGAGATCATCAATGGCTGTGTTAAGTCTTGACGTGTGCAGGGGTGGGTGTGAGAGTGTGCTCGAGGTGTGCTGTTTATACAGTGGTCAGTACAGATCTCCAGGATGAGGAGCCATTTGAGCAGTGACCTGAAGACAAGGAGGGTGGGGCCTGCATGCCTAGGGGTGGCACGTTCCGGACAGGGGTCCCAGTCGGGGCAGGGCCCTGCATGGCGGAGGTGATGGCCAGGTGACAGGAGATGCCGCTGAGCAGAGGGGGCGGGATCCGACTTGGACCTAACAGGCCGCGTACAGCTGTCTGCAGGGTGGACATCCATCTGTACAGCGCAGGGCACAGCCCCCTCCCTGGCAAATGCTCTCTGTTCCCACAGCCCAGGGACAGGGACCACTGTCAGGTTTCTAGGACAGGAGGGAGGAGACAAAAATCAATAGAGCTGGGTGCGGTGGCCATGCCTGTCATTCCAGTAGCTCGGGAGGCTGAGACAGGAGGATCTCAAGTTCAAAGCCAGCCTCAGCAACGGCGAGGCGCTAAGCAGCTCAGTAAGCCGCTGTCTCTAAGTAAAATACAAAACAGGGCTGGGATGGGGCTCAGTGGGCGAGACATTGTCCTGATCTCTGCCAGCTGGTGTGCCCTGTCCCCACACCCAGGAGAGACACGGCCAGTGGAGACACTGCCAGCTACTGGAGGCCGTGGCCAGAGCGACTACAGGACAAGCTCCCTGTGTCAGAGCAGAGGTGATGGGACACAGGGTGCCGGGTGGTCAGGACCAGAGGCAGGAATCCTCCACTCGGGGTCACTCAGCTAGACTGCAGCAAGGCCAGGGCCAGCACTGGGCCCAGGAGGAGGGGACGGCCTCAGAGGACAAGGCCGTGCCCGCTCGTGCCCCCTCATGCCCCCTCGTGGCCGCCGGGCTGCGGCGAGCCTTCAGCCACACGTGTCCACAGCTGGTCACGCTGCCGGGACCCGGACAGCCTGGGTCTGCTGAGCTCCGTGACTCTGGAGAGTGGGCCACCGGGAGCGGGCTTGGGCCCTGGCTGTGTCTTCGGGCAAGAACATGTCCCTCCCCGAGCCTTCTCTAGGGGTAACTGGGAGTGACGCACCTCCAAGAGCCGCTGGGTGCGTGGGAGGACGCAGCTCTGGGAGACACTGCCTGCTGGGGTGGGGACGGCCGGGGGAGGGGCCAGGTTGAGTTTCCTGGGCTCCAGGAGTCGGAGCTGAAGTGGCAAAGGGACCAGATAGCCCGGTTGGTCAGGTCAAGTCTCGGGTGGCAGGAGACTCGCTCCCCAGGGAGCCCAACAGGCTGGGGGAGGCGATAGCTGGGGACGTCCTGCCCAGAAAAGGGTTCTGGGGCAGCCCGCTGGACAGCTGTCCTGGGGCAGGAGTGCGGTCAAGGGGTGGGGCCTTGCCAGGTGCCTGTTTCTGGGGCCTCCACGGTGGCTGCTGCAGGATTGGGAGGGTCTGAGCCTGAGGGCCTCCCGTGTTCACACAGAGCCTGTGATGCCCGCTGTACCCAGAGTGAGGCCAAAGTCCTCCGGGGCTGACCAGGCCCTACCCACTGGGTCCCACCTCCCGGGCCTCACCTTCCACATCTCTCTCTCCCACTCCCTCCAGCCACACTGGTCTCTTTGTAGCTCCTCAAATACACCAAGTCCTCCTGCCTCAGGGCCTTTGCTTGTGCTACACAGGTGGCCACCCCCAATGTCCAGGGGCTCTTTCTTTCCCTCTCCTCTGTGTCTCTGCTCTAATGCCCCCCTCTCAGAGACACCTTCCCTGCCCCTCCACGTATAAACCAGCACCTGCTCCTGGACCCTCCGCCCTTTCTCTGGGGTGTCCCCATGACACTCATCATCACTCAGCCCACTGTGCCACCTCTGTCCTGTTGTATTGTCCCCCACCAGAGGGTCAGCTCTGTGCACTGGGGGCCTTGGCCCTGTTCGGGTGCCCAGAGCCTCACCAGCGCACAGTAGCTGCAGACTGAGCCGAGGACCCGGGGCTGGGTGACGGCAGGAGGCAGGTCCTGGCCCGGGCAGGAGCTGGGCTCTGGTGGCTCTTGGTCCCTCTGTCCCAGCTGTGCTGCCTGACCCCTCCCTGCAGGGCACCCTCTCCCCCACCGGCCACCTTGTGCAGGTCCTGGGCCAGCGCGTCCAGCAGCAGCTGCCGGTTGTCCTGCAGGAAGCGGCCCAGGCCCTGGAGCTGCGCCGCCCGGAACTCTGCCGGCCGAGTCCGCCCCGAGCCGAAGGCCTCCCGCAGCCGCCGCAGCGTGTCCTCGACGGGGTCCATCCTGCTGGACAGGGCAGCGAGAACTGGGTGCTCCACCTCCAGGGGCGACCTGCGGCTGCCCCTCAGTTACCCCACGGGCCAGCTGCTGCCTTCAAGTCCCTGCCCTGCCATGGGCGCACTCAGACGCGCCAGGCCTGGTGACCACTCCCTTTGCCAGGGGAGCGCGGGGTGTCACGGGAGACAGTGTGGCTTGGGGACAGCTGCTCCCCGGCCCCCAGACCTGGGCAGGCAGGCTGAGGTCACCCTACTTCCTGCCACATAGGGTGGCCCTGAGTCATGGTCCCACCCTGCTTGGGAGCCCTCCTGGAGGGAGGCTGGCCATCACCTGGCCTGGCCGAGTGGACAGGAGTACAGTGACTGGAGGGACAGTTTGCCATCGGCCACCACGGCCACCTCTTGGAATGTGCTGGACACAGAGATCCCTGTCCTCCCTGTCCCAGCCTGGGAGCCAGGATGGGTGTGGCAGCTCAAGGCCTGGGTGACCTGGGCAGTGGCCCCCTCTCCCTGCACCTCAGTTGCCCTGGCACAAGGGGGAAGGCCCTGCTGCCCCCTCCAATCCAGTCTGCAGTGCTTGTAGAAGGAGGTGACATGGGGCGAGGGACACTCATGTCACCAGCCAGGGCAGGGACCCACGTCCCCCTGGGCCCCACCTGTTCCCTTGAGGCTCGCCTGATGAGTGCTGTGACCACCCACTCCTCAGCCTGGTGCCTGCCTCCCTCGGGTCTCAGCTGATGCCTCCTCCAGGCAGCCAGCCCTGACTGCTCCCCACCCACCCCCGTAGCTGCCCCTTGCCTGTGCTCCCACTGTTCTGGGTGGTGCTGTGAGATAAATGTCCAGCGACTCTCTGTCCATCCCCCAGTCTCCTCCCCTGCCTGTCTGCTTCCTCCCAAGGGCCTGGACGGCAGCCCCTGTTGGCCTACTTGACCCATCCTTTGGGTCTCCGTGCCCAGCCTCCTTGCCTGCTGGACACAGAGCAGCATGTGCCAGCTCGTAGGTGCCTGCCGGCCTCCGGAGCTGGGCTCCTGGCTGGGCCTCGTAAGCTGGGAGGCCTGGGCAGGCCTTCGCCCTCCCTGCCTCGGTCTCCTTGTCCAAAGCACAGGGGCGAAGCTAGCCCTGGCTCCTCTGCGTCACGTGGCAGGACGTGGCCTAAAGCGCTGGCCGTTGTGCCCTGAGCTCAGGACACAGGGTCACCTGGCTGTTTCACTAAGAGGTCTACAAATATTGACTTCCCTCCCGTCACCTTCTCACCCCCGCCGAGGGCGTGGGGACAAGCGCACCGCCCCCTGCCTTTCATCAGAGCCTCTCAGCGCCCACAAAAATGTGAAGCTCGCAGCACCCACAGGGGACGTGGGCAGGAGCTCGGTGGGGACAGGGGTCCAGTGGAACATTCCAGCAGCTGCTCCTAGCAACAGTGAGGCTGGCTGGCATGGGCAGCAGGCTACGGCCCTGACCTGCCCGGGCCTCTGTGGCTGGTCACTCTGTGCTGAGGCCCCCAGCAAGGGGCCCCGAGGGTGGGGAGCTGGGCAGGACCCAGCAAGCAGAGGAGCCAGGCCATCAGGGACCCTGGGCTGTGACCCCTCAGAGGAGCCGAGCAGCCACTGTGGACACAGGAGATTCCTGCGGCAGTCACTGGGCTGGGCCAGGAGTGCGGTCCCCCTTCGTGGGTCCATCTCAGGTCCATCTCACACTGAGTCTGTCTGGCTGTCTGTCCTGACTCGCTGAAACTTGCCAGCAGCTGGGGGGCCGTTAGTGACCCCATCGAAAGAAATGGAGACCAGGACACAGCAGGCGCGAGCTCCCCCAAGGCCACCCATGTTCTTAGGCTGGATACCCAGGTCCACCCCTGGCTCAGCACAGTTCCAGTGCCCTTCGAGGGGGCAGCCAGAGTCCTGGGGAGGGGACCTGGGCCCAGGCAGGCACTTGCCTGTCAGCGAGGCGCCCTGTGAGGACGGGAGTGGCGCTCTGCCCGTGCTGTTCCCTCACCTGCCCTCAGTCCCGCCAGTGCCCACTGCGCCCGGCCGGCCCAAGTCCCTTCCTGCCTCCGCGGGCCGGGCCAGGGAGGTCCAGGGGCTGCAGGCCTGGAGGTCTCTGTGAAGGGGGGTGAGCAGGGCTTCCTACAGCATTTGAGGGTGAAAAGAACACTGGCCTGTGTCCCCTGGGGCCGGGAAGGTCCGGCCACTTCCCTCCAGGCGGATGACCTGGGGATCCCTCTAAAAATAATCACAGGCTCTGGCTGGCGGGCACAGGTGTGCCTGCCCTGGTGTGGCGCCGTCAGCCAGAGGAGTGGGGTGGCTCGGTGCTGGCTCCTCCCCTCACGGAGCCCCTAGCTGTGCCGGCGTCGGGTCCTGCCCTGCCCGTCCGCAGCCTGGTGGCTGGATGCTCCTCCGGCTGCAGGCCCTGTCCCTACTCAGGCCTTCGGGCTTTTTGTTGTTGGGTTCTGTTGTGCTGGGATCCAACCCAGGGCCTCATACCTTCTGGGCCAGTGCTGTCCCTGAGCCGCTCGCCTCTCGGCCCATGGCATGGCCTGGGGGTCCAGCGACCTGGCTCCCAACTCCCAGCAGCTCTGCTTATTTGCCGGGGGACCTAGGGCGAGTCTCTTGACCTCTGAGTCTCACTTTTGCTGTCTGTGAAATGGCACGGCATGCCCAGGAGGTGGCTGTCACCTGAGTAGACTCTTGCCCCCTCCGGGGTCATGGAGTGTGTTCCCTCTTGGGGCAGCTGGGCACAGGGCGGGGTCCCTTGGCCTCACAGGGCGTCCAGTACCCAGGAGGAGGAGGCCTGGTGGCCCACTCCCACAGATGGAGGTTGGCTGCTGGCGGCTGGGCCCAGCGCTCCGGCCTCTCCCGGGCCCTCCTTCTCCCCCTCCCGGTCCCTCCACCCTGTCTCTTCCTTCCCCTTTCTCCCCTGGCCAGCCATGGAGCCGAGGACACAGTGAGCCTGTGTGTCCCCAAGCAGCCTGCCTGCCTGGCAGCCGGCAGCCCCGTGGCTGAGCCGGGTCCTGGCCCTGGCTGATGGGTGCAGCCCCAGCCTGCCCGGGATACAGTACCTGAGGCCCCGCCAAGCTGCCCTTCCTGCTGGCTGTCCCCGCTCGGCTGGGGCTCCCCTGCCTTATGAAAGGTCCAAGACAGGCCGGCCTCCCGGGCGGGGCACCCTTGGCCTCCGGCCTGACTTTGGCGCTGGGCCAGCTGGAGGCTGCAAAGCAAGATTTTGCCGCTACTTCCTCCAGAGGCCTCTAGATCCTTCCCTGAACCTCAGGAGAAGGAGCCAGGACTCAGAGAGGGCAGCACCAGGCCCCAGGCCACACAGCCTGTCAATTCTGACCAAGGGGCCCGGCCCGAGGAGAGCCCAGGGCAGTGGACCCGGGAATCAGGGGCGAGATGGGGCCCGGAGGCCTACAGCAAGAGAGGCTCTGCCCTGCCCCAGCCCCCCGAGCCTCAGGGTCCCCATCTGCAAAGCCGAGATGGCTGGCGGCCAGAGCACAGTCCCAGGACAATGTCTGCTGCCTGCTGTCCTCAGCCTCTGCCTATCTGTGTCCCCAGCACCACCCCCAGCAGCACCCCCTGCACAGAACCTGTCACCCCCCAAACCTGACGTTTTACAAATGAGGAAAGCAGTGCCCAGAAAGGGGAGGGGACTTGACCACGGGCAGGGGTGGCAGGGCTTCCTGCTCCGAGCAGGTGTTCATCGTCACGGATGTCCCCTCTGCCTCCCAGGGACGAAACCACCCTCCACTGCCGACGACAGTGATCAGATGCTACGCATCACCGTGTCACCTATCATCCTGGGGGACCTCGTGCTCCCACTCCTCCTCAGGCACAGAGCTGTGCCCGGGGGCCTGGCCACTGTCTCCACCCCAGGCATACCTGTGGGGCCAAGCAGGTGCTGGGTCAGACGGGCGCGTGGGTTCCAGGTGTGCGGGCAGGGACCGGCTTTGTGCCACTGCCTGCTGCGGTGCCCTCCCTGCTGGTGCCCTGGGTCTGCCTGGAGGCTCGGGGCCAGGGCCTCTGGGCCGACCTTGCACCTGGGAGATGCTCATGGCTGCCCCACCCACCGGCTCCCCTGCCTCCCTGGGCGGGCGGGAGAGGGCTTCTGGCCCACGTGGGCTCCGACACCCTGGAGGATTTAGCTAGTTGGGGTGGGGGAGGGATAAGGGGCTGCGGAGGACCCCCTCCCCGTTCTCTGTGGAGGATGGAGCCCCCAGCCGCCACCTGTCACGTGACTCAGCATGTGACAGCCTGCTCTGCCGCTCTCTGGAGCTGAGCCAGACAGAAGCAAAGAGAGCTGGTGACAGGCAGGGCTAGGCGGGGGCTGAGCCCATAGCTTTCAGCCAGGAAGTAGACTCAGAGAGGAGCAGTCACAGGCCTAAAGCCACACAGCAAACTGGGAGCCCACCTGGAAAGGTCCTGATGGGTGAGAGGGGTGTGCAGGATCCTAAAGACCCTCTCTGACCAGAGAGCTGTCAGGAGACTCCCTGCAGGGCTCGATACAGCTCGCAAGGAGGCTCCCGAGGAGGTCTGCCTTCCTGGGACAGGGTCCACCTGTGCTGGGTGTGGAGGCCCCTCTACCCTGGGGTGGGAGGCACCCCACCCTTCTCCTTGCCCCTAGAGCCGGGTTCCAGAGGCTCAGTGGGCCTGACGGTTGTGGCCAGGATAATCGGGGCCTCTGGGCAGGACCTCCAGGGGTCACTCTTAGAGCTGCCTGGGACTGCACATCTGGTGTAGGGGACCCAGAGGTCTCGAACTTCCTGCTGCGGCCAAGCTCAGGTGTCTGGGCCAGACAGATCTGCCCACCCTCACTGGGTAGCACTTGCTTCTTGGCCTTGGAGTTCTCGTGTGTGTACAGGCAAGAGCAGGCCCAGGGTGTCCACAAGGTAAACGGCTGACATGGTGAAGCACTTAGCTCAGCACCTGGTACAGAGGCGGTGAGGGGTAGCCTGGTTTCCAGCCCGGTCCTGACACTTGTCTGCGTGACCTCAGGTCACTGTCTTAACCTTCCTGTGCCTCTGCATTTCCACCTAGAGGGATACGGAACTGTAACACATGCCCAAGGATCCCGAGGATGAAATAACTCAATCCCTGCAGGGGGGACTGGAGTCATTGACATTTCAAGTGCCCCAACCCGACCTGAAGGAGAGCCACTTCCCAAACTCCAGGACAGGAAGGTGGCTCAGGCCCTTGCCAGACCCACCAGCTGCCTGCCAGACTGGCTCGGTCCCACCGTCCTCTGCCAGGGCCCCTAGCTTTGGCCCTCCCCATTGCCCTTCCCTCCTCACCCACCCGCAGCCCCCATCTGCAGCTCACAGTGGAGGCCCAGGGAGGTGCCTGAGGTGGGGCCTGACCTTGGGTCCAGGGCGCCCCAGCAGCCCTCTCCCTCTTCTGCTGTGGCCGCCCAGGAGGAGGTGCCGCCCCAGCCACCCCCGCCCCCGGCCTCGGCCTGGCCTGCCCCTGCAGTGCCACAGACGCTGGCACTCACTTCAGAGGATTTGATGGAAAGACTCTGCTAGCCCCGCGTGGTGGCCACGCCTGTGATCCCAGCGGCTGTGGCAGGAGGAGCAGGAGTTCAAAGCCTCAGCAACTTAGCAAGACCCTGTGTCAAAGAATAGAAAGGGCTGGGGACGTGGCTCAGTGGAGGAGCACTCCTGGGTTCAGTCTCCAATACAAAAAAAAAAAAAAAAAATTCACCTTTGTCCTCTCTCTGAGGCAGGGGCAAGGGGCAGGGGAGGGCAGAGTGGACAAGGGTGTGGCATCGGGTGGAACCAGCATCCTCGTTTCCTGCCGCCACCTGAGCCTGTCTCCAGCTTTCCCAGAGCTCCCCGGTCTCACCTGCAGACAGGCTACTCAGCTCACCTGCTGGGTGTCCCCACCTCAGGCCACAGTGTCCTCACCTCACTCCTGGGAGGACAAAAGGAGCCCATCGGGAAAGCACCTGCCAGGACCTCAGGTATACAGGAGGTGCTCAATGAATGTGGCTGTCCTCCTGCCCTTCTCCCTGCCCTCCTGAGGAGGTGGGTGTGCTTGCTTTGTCCCTGAGGCCCTTCCTGGGGTGCAGAGTTAGAGGCCACAGGTCTCGGTGCCTGGGCCCCGGCCAGCACTCAACGAGCAGAGGGATGGCCCGTCACCCACTGTCGGCCCACGATGGCCACAGGCAGACTTCCTCGCCGAGGCTTCCCACGGGCTATGCTTTTAGTTTGTAGCCAAGGTCACAGACACCCTGGTTCAGCCTAGGGACTCGAGGTCATGAGCCTCTGCTGGTGACATGCGCCCACTGACGTACCTTCTCTGGCCGATGGAGGTGACGGCAGGGCTGCTGTCACCTCCAGACAGAGCAGTCTACTGTCCCAACTGCCTCACATCTCCTCTCAACTTCCAGGGCCCAGACCCTCCTCCTGGCCTGGGCCACAGCCTGACAACGGGCGTGGCCGGCAGGATCCTGTGCCGTCAGGTGAGAGATGCCTTCCCCCTGGCAACAGCAGCCTGTGGCTCTCGGGTTCTCCACCCTGTTGGCATGGATTCCCGAGGAAGGTCGGGATGCGGCGGGTGGGCTCCCTGGGAGCAGGGAGAAGCCTTTAGGAGCACTGAGCTCCCACCCCGGGGCGGCCCCTCGGGAGGCAAGTGGCTGGGATCTTTTCTTACTGCCCTGGGGGTGAGCAGGACCTGGTGGACTGTGGACCGAGCGGCCGAGCCCGGGCAGCGGCCCATGGCCAGGAGAAGGGGATGGAGAGAGGACGGGGAGCCCACGCACAGGGCTGGGCTGCGGGATGGACGTCCCTTCCTGCTCTGAGCAGACACGGGGGTGGCTTCAGAGAGCCCGTCAAGATGAGGCAGGTGCAAGGTAAGGAAGAGGCCTCGAGACCAGAGCCCGTTGCTGGAGGGGGACCTCCGTGCCTTGAGAACCCCTCTCGGCCTCCCCGTGGCTAATGAGGAGGAGGGGAGGGGGACCAACCCCTCAGGCCCTCAGTGGTAATGGGCAGCAGTGGCCGTGGCTCCTGGGCGGGCAGCAGCCAGCAGGGCCTAGCCAGGCGACCAGGCTCCCTCATTCGGCCCATCAAGCCGAGCTTGGAAGACAATATAGACAGAGGCCAGCAGAGCCCTGGCCTGTGAGCTTTAGGGGTGGACAACATGTGCACTGCCCTAAAATGGAGAGGTTCGAGACTCGCCCTACAGCACTGGGAGGGGCCGAGAGCGTCCAGGTGGGCAGGAGCCGGCGGGGGCCAGAGACCCCGGGTGCTACATGTCATCGATCCTGCACAACCTCCGGGCTTAGATGTGCCTGTAACCTGAGAGGGATTTAGCTGGGGCTTATGGCAGAAATACAAATGGCTGAGACAGACTCTGGGACGTTGGTGTCCAGTGTGAAAGGCTGCGAGCCCTCCGCGTCCTGATGGAGAAGCAGCTTACAGCTGTGCATGCCGTTTGGTGGCCTTGGAGGACATCATGGGTGCCACTGAAGTCTTGGTGCGTGGCCTGGATCCCGTGGTGGGATGGGTGTAAAGGTGGGCAATCACCCCGAGGACTGTGTCGCCCAGAGCGAGTGTACTAGTGACAACAGAGCCCACTGTCAGCTGGCCCATGGGCTGGACTTCAGAGGTGCTGTTGCCCATGTCGGTGAACCAGCAAGAGGCCCATACCTTGGAGGGGAGGTACCTCTACTGTCCGGCACTTGATACACTGATGGCCCCAGCGTGGACAGATGTCTATGTGGACATGGTGGCTGTGGAGCCAGAGACAGACGCTGTCGGGTTGGATTCTGGTGTAGGACAAAGTAGCCAGGGTCTGATTCTCCCGGGCTGTGCCTGAGGACACCCTGGCTGCGGGAGTGGGCGTTCTCTTCCGCCCAGCCCTGGGCTTTTCCACAGCCTGAGCCCCGCAGTCCTTTAGCCCCATCGTAAGGCTATGGAGCCATGAGGCCAGTGCTCACCCAGGATGGCGGCACTGGCTGCAGGGGTGACCCAACAGTTCCTGCAAAGGTTGACTGCAACGGCCCAGTGGCCAGAATCTGGTGCAAGAAAGAACTGTGTCCCCCAAACTGGCCCCAGTGCCAAACCACCGGCCGTTAGTCCCGCCCACTGCCCTGCCCGCCAGGCCGTGGGAGCTGCGTCTCCTGGTTTTCGGGGAGCAGCCGTGCCCTGCGCCA